GGGATGATTTGTACCGTAATTCTTAAAAAAAAATCAGTAGAAAGCCAAAAAAGTAAATTAGAATCCAAATTAGGTAATTATTATGGATGTATATAAACCCAAAACTAATTAAGGTAGCGAGAAGGGAAATTTTCACTTTTTTCTTGATTTTTCAAAAATTGATAAAACGTTCACTTTAGACCTTGATACATCATCCCAGGTTTACAAAAGATCGAAATTGCGAAATAACGTCGCTCAAATCAGTGTTTTAAAACGCTAGGAGAAAAGACTACAACTGCCGTTTCGTGGATATTTGCATATTGTTTATCTTTGAAAGGGTTTAAATGATAACATCTTATCTGTATACTCTGTTGTTGACGATTCTGATATAACAGGTGATAAGCTTCCAGTCACAAACAATGCGTGTTTATGAATATCTAACGTTCATTGTCAGCATTATTGTCAGTCGAGACTTCGTCGGAGAAACATGGTCATACAGTACCCATTTCGCCCAACCTTCCACTTTTACATCGACCGCTTAACGCTTAATTTCCGACCATGCGGTCTTGTCCGACCGGAAACCGACCACACTTTAATCACGTTTTTTTGGGGGGGGGGCCTCGCTCGCTCATTGAAAACACCAACTGCTCGTCCCAACACTGATCACTGGCGCAGGAGTGGTCAAATGGTGGTTTTGATAGTAAAGTGTGAACATACAACTAACTAGTATTAACTATTATTAAATTCTGAACGGCACTTCAAATCTAATAGTTGTATGACACTTGTATCGTGAAACCAACTGAACGGGGACCTCTTGTTACGTGTTTTGGTGCTTGTTCTAAATGTAATGTTATTTTAATGAGACAGTTACGTGAAAAAAACATAAGTAACTCATTTTGACAGAGCAGAGAAACAAGGAAATGTTAATGATTAATTCCAAAAATAACGATACCGAATCCACGTCTGTCCATGTCTGGTAAAATTTGACATTCAATTATTAAAATTAAGTCACGATCATTGAATTTACTTCGGTCTAAACCGTATACGTAAAATTGTTCCCACAAAAATATTTTCGACTAAAAACGGCCACATGCCCTGAAAAAATCGAACAGAGCTTGACATGTATGAATAATTTATTGGGCTTAAAAATTTAGTTATAGCCATAAATATTTGGTGGCCTGTCGATGAACAATTTCGAAACTCAAGATTCACACGGCTGCGAAAGTAGAACATTCCGGAGGCGGTGAAATGGAAGAGCCAATCTTAACGCATAAAAATAGAATGCGTATTTTGACCTCTGTGTGGCCAACCAATGGCTGGATACGAAAACGTTTGCGGTCGTTGCCAAAGAACCCCGCGTCCATCGCCTGGCGATGCTCTTCACCCCCTCCGGAATGTTCTACTTTCGCGGCCTAATCGCAGGTTTTTCGAAAAACGTCGAAAAAACACAAGAATTAGTAGAAATGTTCCTATTTTGGGCGGATTATTGATAGTTTTTGCCTTAGTTATTTTTTATCGGCGAAAAACTGCGAACTCGGCAAATTTGGTTGCACAACTTCCCTCTATCCACAGTGGAGGGACTGTGCTCTATCATATACACCCAGCGACACCGATGCCAGCTGACTGTGGGAGAAACCAACGGGGATCGACATTCCAAACAAATTATTGGGACACGGTCGACAGACATTCCAAACAATCGCAATTATCAACGAAAGACGAGATTTTATTTTAGGCTTAGAAATATATTCTTTCAGTCAGCCCATGCATGGAACTGCCATTTAGCTTCATGGTCCTTCAGCTTGTCTTTGCCTCGGAGGAAAACAACAATAATAATACAAAACACATTGTGAAGACTCAATAATCAGGAAAGAAAACCCAGACAACCATGTCATACTTGTGTTGAAATACATTTTGTATTTCACGTCAGAATATTGTTTAAAATAAAATATTCAGACCAAGCCAAATCGAGGCCAAAGGGTCGGGGTTGGGTGCATATACCGTATTTATCTGGGTATAAGCCCAGGGTCTTGAACATGGAAAATTGCCAAAAAGAATCGGTGGGCGTTTGCCAGGAGATCCCCGGCAAAAAAACGAAAATTCGCGAAAATC